TTCTACGTATGTCACTGAGGAGTTCGAAGCTGTTAGTATCGCTAAAAGACTACATAATATATCCAAGCTTCGCTCAATTCAATCATAAACCTAATGGTAGTAATCCGCCGTTGCCGGTCCCAAGCTCGGATGAGAAACGAAGAGGGCTGAAGACCGTGGCGAGGTCTCGTATGAATCTTAGCTACCTGTCTATCATGGTATTGCCGTCATCGAACGCGATATCGGCTCAATCATCATTCGCATTACCAAGGGCCGAGCAGAATGTTCGGGAAGTGAGTCACGCTGCAAAAAGTCAGCCATCAGAACCTGATTATCGCTTTCTGGTTGCTCAAGGTGTTGCAGAACCGCGACGGCTTCCGAAAACGACGAATATACCAGTCAGCAACCGAACCGCTATCCGTTCTGAACTGAGGAGGCAGACAGCGGGATGACATTAGAGCAGTTTAGAAGGACTTCACGAAAACGATATTGACAGTGGAAGATCAGTCAGAAATTGAAATATTTCCGCATTCAGAGAGAAAGAGCAGGAGCCAGTTGATGAGACCGCAAGGTATCAACTCGACATAGACTTTCGTCAGTAAAGTTCCAGGGCTCTCAAATTCTGAACCTCTGTGGCTAGAAGCAATTTTACTCTGGTGTCGACGTCACAACACGCTCCCAGATCGGTGTTTTGGTAGAACCCAACCCAGATAACATAATCGCTGAATGTAAACCTGTCAGCGGAAGAGTGGCAATCAATCTGCTGAAGTTACAATATGCTACAGCTATCACCTACAGGTCAATGCGTCCAGTTTAGAGATAGAGTATGAGTCATTAAAGAACTACGTAGAAAGTGCTTTGTACAAAGTGCCGTCTACGAAAACCATCTTTCTAATGAGCAATTTCAGTGCACATGACAGAGAAGACTGAAAAGCTGATAGACGTGATTAGAAATCATAACCCTAACGACATCAACAACAACACCATGTAGTTGCTGCTATATTGTGAAAAAATGGAATGTCTCTTATAAACACCTTCTCTGAGCATCAAGACGTGAATCGGACAACTGGTAGGAAAAATTGTGCACAGAAGATGATGATCGATTTGATAATCGTATCCTCTGATTTAAGACGTACTGTAATTGCTGTTCGCGCTAAGAGAAGAGCTGAGCTCTCAATCGATTATCATATTATTAGTACCATCCGCCATAAACCTGCAGAACTACGTGAATACCTGGCGGTAGAACAGCCAGAGAATCAAATGGAAAACACCAACTTCTGCGGGTACGAGGGGAAATCTTGCAAACACGTCGCACGACGATCTGAACAGAACCCAGTGATGACCGCTTATGTAAAAACCGAATAGAACTCCTCTAAGAGTGACATATTTGGGACTGCCAACAAATACTTTGATTTAAAACGGTTTGGCCTGCCCTGCTGAATAGGAAGTACTCCAATTATCGGGGCATGCCTTACTGAGCTTCCTGGAAAGTTCATAAAAAGGTGTTAGAATAGAGGTGTGCAGAACAGATGGCTCTATAATCCAAGAAGAGTAGTGTGGCTTCATGCCAGGCCGATGCATCTCTTACCAGATTCGCTTTACGCCGGATTGCTGAGAAATCGTAGGAGATCCCTAATCCGATTAATATGTGCTTTCAGAACCTAGATAAAGCCTATGAAAGGATCCCGCGTAAAACTCTATAGTCATGCCTGTGAGCATACGGGATAGATGGCCAGCTGCTAAAGGCCATCCAATCATTATATTCTGAAAGAAGGTGCGACGTCGGAGTAAATGCCGATAAGTCGAAACCTTTCAGCGTTGCCACTGGTCTTCGCCAAAGCTGCGCTCTGCTTCCTTCTCTGTGTGTGTTGTACATCGACGGAAGAGTCAGGCGCAGCCAAGGCGATGAATGCATCGGTTTAGGAGATGTCGAGACGATGTTGTTTGCAGACAGCCTTGTTTTGATGACATCTTCCAAAACGGATCTTCAGTGCTCCCTGGAAAGGTTCGCAACCGAGTGCGATGTGACCGGAATGCGTGTAAACGCATTTAAAACGAAAAGCTTAGTACCTTCTCGTTCTCTTGCCCGTTGCGCTCTGTAGATAAACGGAGAAGCAATGGAACAGATGGAGAAGTTCACGTATCTCAGGGTCGTGTCTATCGACGATGGAAAAGTTGCACCAGTAGATTGGGATGGCTAGCGGTGTTCTGCGTGAAGTAACCCGAGCAGCAGTGTGATTAAAGCAGAGCTGAGTCTAAAGACTAAGTTCTCGGTGTTCAAGTCGATCTTCGTCCCCATGCTTACCTACGACCGTGAGTCATAGGTCACGACTGAAAAACTTCTATCCAAGATAAAAGTGGCTGAAGTGCTTTTTTGAGACGAATCGCTGGGCTCACGCGACTCGACACGGTTCAGCCTAAAAATATCTAACCTTGGTATGACCCACTGGTCCTCCAGACTGAAAAGTCACAGCAGCAATGGTTTGTACACGTCTTGTGAATTACTTCTGAAAGGAAGGCGAAGCAACTACTACTCAGTCAGCCGATCGGCATAAAAGCCAGGGGACGGCAAAGAATGACTTGGGGCAGTTGTCTCGATAGACTCTGTTACAGATTAGGTTATCTTCTGCAGAAGCAAACATACTGACGCATCTAACTCAGCGACCCGAAAGGACATGCGGTCATTGAACTCGACTAACGGAATTATCAGTAGTATTAGCTTAAATGATTTATTTTACTACATAAACAAGCATTGAGCTCTAATCCAGACATGGAGCAACCAGCTGTGCAGTGACTAACCATTAACGACCAATGGTTAATAACGACCACGCGACGTTTTGATGTCGAAATGAGAGAACCCATTAAACCGATGACGATGTTGTTCGCTGCTCACCGTTAGAACAGTTGCTATGCTACTTGACCACCTTGACTCTATCTGCTGTAGACAACAAAATCCTTCAATTAAAGAAGCAGGAGAAACGCAGTACTCATTCAAAGCGAACTTAAACGTTAGGGAAGGCCTGCATTTGGTGCAATGTGGATCTGCGCTACTCATTTAGAGTGAGCATCAGTTGTGACTCCCTTTTGTCACTGAGCTTACAGCGCGGAGCTGGTCTTCATTTCGACACCACTAGCCATCATAATCTTCCCGAGTACGCTATCTACGGATCAGTGACAAGCATAACTTTTGGCGTCTTGTTTCCTTTCAGTGAAACTGCATTCGATTATCAACATCATAAGAAAGGCAACTGACCCAGCAGGGATTCTAGCCCGCCATTTTTTAACAGAGAGTCCAAAACTCTATCGACCGAATCACCCCGACTCTGAGCATTAAAACACGAACGTTCCAAATTAAGTAATGGCAAACGAATTACTCTCTTGTCAATTTGGACAACAGAAACCAATGATTAGACATCCGCCGTGGCGCGAAAGCTTGAGTGATATTAGAAAATGAGCTCGCTTACGCTTCATCGTTCGTCCATGAGGCGTCGTTCACTGGATCATAGTTGGTTTTGCACGGATCATAATCAAGACTAGCGACTGCTTTTCTTTCCCTTCAAAAAGCCGTGACGCATGCATGCATGTCACAATACCGGCGTTTACTTGCTGGCTTGAGTTGAACCAATTTCCTTCCCTTGTTCAGCCTTTCGCCGCTTTGGCTTAAAACCGTGATCCTCATCTTTAACTTCAGCTGTACGCTGGCTGCCTTCCTCACGACTTGAGTTCGTGCTTTCATTGACACTGCGTTCTTC